CGCCTTTGAAGGGGTTGCACCTTCTGCAGACGAAGCAGTGGGTCTATTTATATCCCTCCGACCCACTGGGGGTAATATGATTTGTAATTTATTTTAGGTTTAACAAGGGTTGTTTTGTCACTTAACGATCTGAGCATTCTAGGTGTTCATTTATGATTTAGAAAAAGTTTTCCAGCACTTGCAACACAATTAGGTCATAGAAATGCCAAGGATTAGAAGTAGTTTAGCTTTAGTAAGGGTTTTACGGCGCTCGCAACTGCATAAGGTCATATGAGCGCCAGAAGATTAGAGCTGGTGTTACAAGAGAGTAACAAACATAAAAAAGAAGAAGGGGGGATAAGAACGATAGATGTTTGATAGGAAAGAAGGAGCAAACCACACTAGAGCACCCGCCAACCACCCACTACTAGAGAGTAACATACAGAGAAAAGAAGGAGGAGAAATAAGGGCAGCAGACGTCAATTTTAGTTTCAGTAAGGTTTTACAGCGCTCCCAACTGCATAAGGTCATATGAGCGCCAAGGGGTAGATGTCAACAGAGAAGTCCAAAAAGGGAATCAGGCTTACTCTACTCACCTCTCTAGCCTCAACAGCACAAAGTCTGCTTCGACTATCAAAGCACCCCAGAAATAGCAGTTCACAAGAGAGGGACAAACATACAAAAGAAATAGAGGAAAAATGACGATAGTAAGGATGAGGAAAGAAAAAGCAGCAGTTCCCCATCCTATGTTCTTCCAGCACAGTATGAGCATGACATTGATAAATCAGCCCATTTACAATTCTACTGGGCATAAGAACATGTTAATGTCCCCCTTTTGGGAATGGCCTAAAGACAATTAAGTCAGTAGCATTGCCCTGGGGGGTAGATATAAATTAGACAAGAAAGAAGGTGCAAATGACACCAGAGCATCCACATTGTAATGCAGGGTGCTGTGCGTTAATGACCAGTTCAGGAAATGTTTGCAGGCATGAGTTTGTATATGTCGATCTGTCCCGCTCGTTTTATGCAAGAAAAATTCAGAAATTATGCGATTCTGTTAACTATAACAAAGAATGACAAAGGAAAATAATCCGAAATTATGAGAGAAAAAAAATCAAATTTTGCTGAAATATGCGGGGTGCATAAAACCACGGGGACAGGACGATGTGATGAGATGTGAGTATGACATGCAAGACACAACAAGTTTTTGAAAAACAAATTTCTTCCTAAAAAAGATAGACTCGATCGTATTTTCTTTAATGTTCATTCCAGTAACGCACATACATACACATGTTTCAGCACGAGAGACATGTTTTTTCCACCGTTTCCCTGAGTATTTTTTCTACAGTCACCTAAACCTAGTGCACTATGTCTCATTATAACCCCAAAAGCTTGCCTCCAACTTCTAAATAGCGTAAACAAAGGTTTAGTCATTACTTTATAAAACTTGGTCCGGGAATAGTTCCGAAAAACAAGCAAATCCTAGCAGTAAATAAAACGAAACAGTTGTGACTAGTACTGGACGCTCCCAGCGTCTGATGGGGTTCAAAGAGTTACGGTGAAGACAACTGTACTAGCGGGTGAACAGAGAGTCAAAGACCTTTCAAAAAATATTAAACTGTCCCTGTGGTTTTATGCACCCCCCAAAACTTAACAAAATTTGATCCTTTTTTGCATAATTTCTGATTATTTTCCTTTATCATTCTTTGTTAAAATTACCAAAATCGCATGAAATTTCTCATTTTTGGGCTCAGTTTGCATAATTTCAGAATTTTGCTTTTTTGCTTGCATAAAACTACGGGGACAGATTAAAAGATCTATTCAGCTTGTCACTGCTGTAAACCTAGCTGCCTTTGAGCTGTTGGTCTTTTACGCAATGGACTGTTGGAAAAGAATAAATCTATCAGGGATGCCACTCAACTTTTTTTTAAATAGCTGAAAATCCACACGCCACGGTCTCGCTAACATATGAATATCAATTTGAAACCCAAATTTTTTTTTTCCAACTATAGATTCTATCTCGATCTCAATAACATGATAGCGGATCAGGATCAAAATACCGGAAGTACCAGAAAAAAGCGGAAAAGTGGCATCCCTGATCTATTTGCCTGACTGCACAAACTATACAAGGTACGGCAAAGAGCTCACCAACAGACGAGCACCCGCTCGGAAAAAGCTTGGCGACATCCATGTCCGGGCCTGTAGGGAAAGCATCAATATAGCAATCATTCGTAATGACTCGACTTTTGACTAAAACCATTCACAATGAAATTAACTTTGACTAAAATCATTCACAATGAAATGAACTTTGACTAAAATCATTCACAATGACACAAACTTTGACACAAATTCATTCACAATGACTTAAGCTTTGACTAAAATCATTCATAAAATTACACGAACTTTGACTAAAATCATTCACAATGAAATGAACTTTGACTAAAATCATTCACAATGACACAAACTTTGACACAAATTCATTCACAATGACTTAAGCTTTGACTAAAATCATTCATAAAATTACACGAACTTTGACTAAAATCATTCACAATGAAATGAACTTTGACTAAAATCATTCACAATGAAATGAACTCTAGTAGTAGTAGTATAAGGTTTTACGGCGCTCGCAACTGCTAAGGTCATATGAGCGCGCGAAACACAAGTTGTTCACCTCT